TGTTCTACATAAATATCAAATAAAAGTATTGATTACAGGCAGCCTTGTCATGTCTTTATCTGTAAAATTAAGTACAATAACATCCAAAACCCACAAAACAGTGATACCTTTATTTGGCTAATCAAAATGCACAAAATGCTTGATGCAAACTTTTGAAGCTCTGTTGGCTTCTTTGTCAGGCAAAGGTGTTAAAATATCACATAGGAGAAAAATAAAATAAAATGATGATGATAGTCATAGGCCTGCATATTCTCAAGGTAAAAGCTTTCAAAGCTACACTGGCTTCTTTATCAGGCAAAGGTGTTAAAAATCATACAGAAAAAATATAAATAAAATAACAATGTTAGTCACAGGCCTGCATTTTCTCAAGGTAAAACTCAGGTATTGCCCACATTCGTAAATTACATGATAAACATATTTCTGTCTTTGTGAATGGCCCACAAACTCAAAATAGGATTTTTTTTTACATAGATCTCCTTTTCTATATTAAAGGAAAGCTTTCCCATCCTGCATTGGGGGGACATCCCTCGTAATGAGGCAGCTCCATAAGGGACAAACTTTCTGGCCTTCAAATAAAGGATCTCCCTTATATATGGGACACCTGGCAACCCTATCTATCACTACTACAATAAGCCGCACCAGTTGGATGGGTGCCTCCTGTGTAGCAGTTAAAAGCACAGGATGTGACAAGGTTGCTGTCATTCCTGTTGACTTGAAGAGTCCAAGGATGAGATGGGACTTGGCCTGATTCCAGAAATGCTGGGAACCAAAAACAAAGCAAAATGAAAGCAGCACTGAGGCAAAGAGTCACAGCTAGTTTGCTACCCAAAGAGGAAGTGACAGATGGTATTTCAAGGGAGGTGATTTCCCTGTAAAGATAATGTGTTGCTATGATTGTCTTTTATTATACCCTGCCCAGTCCCCAGGTCTCAGGGCAAGCAGCAGCATGTTTGTTTTTCTTTCAGAGTGAAAACTGTGAAATGCAAAAACAAGCTTGTTGAAAAGAACACACAACATGATCCCCTCCAATAAAAGAAGACCTGAACATGTCCTTTAGATTTATAGCAGGGAGAGGTCCACTCCCAGCACAGGTATTCCTCCCCATCCCTTGAACACACACATACACACTCTTAATTTCTTTGCGTCTGATTACTGTATGCTCAAAGCCAGTTCAAATATGCTGTGATTATTGGTTGACTAGAGCTGATGGGAATTGTAGTCAAAAACATCTGCAAGGACCCAGGAAGGAGCTCACTGTTTGGAAATGTTACTTTTTTGCTCCAGAATCCATACCTATGTCTGTTCTAGGAGTTGCATTTGAAAATAATAATAAAACAACCTTTTTGATGTATAATGTGGTGCTGGGAGCATATTAAAATAAATATACATTATTTATTAAAATAAATATACATTAGAAATGCATATTAAAATAAATATACATTAGACAATAACCAGTAAAATGCCCTTAAACATATAAGGAACATTTGAAAGCTCTTATTTAATGGGTGTTTAGGAAAAGGTATGGATTCTGGGAGCTGCAGTCCAAAAAAGTATTCGCTACAGTACAGTATTCGCTACAGGAGCTCACTGTCTGGAAATGTTCCTTTTTTGGACTGCAGCTCCCAGAATCCATACCTCTGTCCGTTCTAGGAGTTGCATTTGAAAATAATAATAAAACAACCTTTTCGATGTATATTAAAATAAATATACATTAGGAAATGATCAGTAAAATGCCCTTAAGCATATAAGGAACATTTGAAAGCAACTCTTATTTAATGGGTGTTTAGGAAGAACCAATCTCTTTCAAAGGCTGTTCTCTGTTCTTTGTGATATGCCCCCTGCCTGAACCTAACATCTGTGACACAGCTGATTTGCACATGCTGCATCGCCTGATGTTACCATCATCAAGCAATGGAAACCGCAAGTGTAAACACAAGCGTGTCACTCGAGGTCACCCCCTATGTGAATGCATTTTTTCCTGGTAAAGGCTGCTGCTGCTCATGGAGTGGGTTGGCCAGTTATAGAATTTTGGAAAAATGTCCAAATATTTTTGACCGCAGCTCCCATGATCCCTTACCATGCCGGATGGGGCTTCTAAGAGTAGAAGTCCAAAACATCTGGAAGGTCCAAAATTGTCTTTCAAGAATGGAAGTAATCCCTTCCCAGCAAAAAAAGGTCTTGAAAGAATAACAAGAATAACACTCCTTCCCCAAAGTACAATAAAATTCAAAATCCACAAAACCACAATAGCTTTATTGGGACAACCAAAATGCATGAAAAATACATTACACAAGCTTTTGAAGTTCCACCAGCTTCTTCATCACTGGCTTCTTCATCAGACAAAGGTGTTAAAAATCATAGAGGAAAAAAAATATGAGGATGGCAGATTCACAACCCTACATTTTGTTAAGATGTTGTTGTTCTCTGTTCAGATGGTATGGGGGGGGGGGATTTTAATGTTGGCAGGTCATTCCTCCTAGTTGGACATGTGGGCTCTGGGAGACAAAGAATTGTAAAGTCCAGGAAATGAAATGTAAACCATTAGCAAAAAGATACGTGATCCAGGCTGTCTCTCTCTCCCTTGAGAGGCTAAACCCTCCCTTCTTAGGCATTTCTCAAGCAGCCTCTGTGCTGTTGCATTTGGGAAACTTTTAGGTGGTGTTTAGGAACAGGAGCCGGCCAGCATGAATGTCCTTCCATACCACCATAACAGAGAACAGTTACCTCTTGACAAAATGCAGGCTTGGGATTAACATTGTCATAATGATTTTTCTTTCCTGCATGCTTTTTAACATGATAATGAGACATCTCCAAGACCCCTTGTCCTCCACTGCTCTGCTCAGCTCTTGTAGATTCAGGCCAGTGGCTTCCCTGATTGAGTCCATCCATCTAATGTCTGATCTTCCTCTCTTTCTACCTCCCTCCAACTTTCCTAGCATTACTGT